CCGTACCGACACTGACCGTTCTGACACTGACCGTACCGACACTGACCGTTCTGACACTGACCGTACCGACACTGACCGTTCTGACACTGACTGTACCGACACTGACCGTTCTGACACTGACCGTTCTGACACTGACCGTTCTGACACTGACCGTACCAACACTGATCTTACCAATGCTGACATTCTGACACTGACCGTTCTGTACCGACACTGATCGTACCGACACTGACTGTACCGACACTGACTGTACCGACACTGACTGTACCGACACTGACTGTACAGACACTGACTGTACAGACACTGACTGTACCGACACTGCACTAAGTGGCACTAGTGGAAAAAGGGACCTGGGCCAAAACCAAAGCGTCTGACCATAAATCAGTGCTTACACTCATAGTTGAACATCCAGAGTTTATTGTRGTCTCTGTGGTTCTATTAGACTGCAGACACATGATCGTCTGTCTGTTATGACACTTGGCAGTAAGAAATAAAAGCCTTCAGTGTTTATATTGGTGATAAGGCTTTTTATGGCACCATTGACTTGTCCACAGTTGAATCATGACCCAGTTACTGGCAGCAGCTCAGAAAAAGGATTTTTAAATCACACTTAACGGGAATAAAAGCTGTTTGTAAAAATAAAAATAACTTCAGTAACTCTGTCAGCTGTGGACCAACAGTTTGTCTTAAATGTCTTTCAATATAAACAGAAAATAAAAAAGCTTTGTTTCTGGTATCTTATCAGAAGACATTTAAGCTTTAGGCGAGTCTGCTGCAGACATGAAGCTTCTCACGAACAAGGATCAGGGTTTCCACGGATCCTCAAAAAGTCTTAAAAACAAAGGCATTGTTTTAATTATYCTTAAAAWGTCTTAAATCAGTCRTTCAGRACCATGTGGAAAAGATGTCTGTCTGTTTGAGAAGGGTCAAATCATTGGCACGCATTTAAGAAAATAGCAGAAATTAYTAAAACTGGGTTAAGAACTGTCCAACACATTAARAACTAGTAGTGCCTAYGGTGATCTGGGGTCAGTTMGGTCCAGGAAGCTTATCGAAACAATGCCCCAGCAAAGGTGTGYTGTAATCAAAGCTAACGGTGGTCCAATGAAAAATCAGAGTGTGACCTTTTTGTTTTGGCCAGGCAGTGTTTGAAAGTTGCAGAAAGTCATCACATCTGATTACCATCTGGAGTTAGGTCAATTAAAGATGGCTGCCACATCCTTCTGATCTCAGAGAACATAAAATGTATGTAATTCAGTCAGTTTKATACATTTTGGGTAACAGTTTGAACAACAATCAGATGTCTGATTCATCCTGACCTCTGAATTGTTGGTTTGTGTTGCAGGTTAGCCCCCCTGTGAGGTCTACATCCTGATGCTCAGAGGGGACGTGTCTCTGTCCACAGCATCACCTGTCCTCTGATGATGCATCTTCACCCAGGAGAAGACTGGTTCCTTCCCTCTCTGAAGCGGGGGGCATCCCCCCCGCTCACTCCCACCTCAGGGGGCTTCTGAACCTCCAGAGACCCCCTGATGGAGAACCCCCTCGTGACAAACGTGTCCCTGGGCTCCGGGTCCACACCTCAGCCGGTCACGCCAACTGCCCGAGCCCCAGAGGTCCTGCAGGGTGTCGGCCTGCCCCTGCAGGTGTTCTTCAGCCTGGCCATGGTGGCCATCTTGCTGGTGTCTCTGGCGGGAAACGTGGTGGTCTGCCTGATGGTGTACCAGAGGTCCGCCATGCGCTCYGCCATCAACATTCTCCTGGCCAGCCTGGCGTTTGCAGACATGATGCTGGCCGTCCTCAACATGCCCTTCGCTCTGGTCACGGTCCTGAGCACGCGCTGGATGTTTGGAGACGTGTTCTGTCGCCTGTCGGCCATGTTCTTCTGGTTCTTTGTGATGGAGGGCGTGGCCGTGCTGCTGATCATCAGCATCGACCGCTTCCTGATCATCGTCCAGAAACAGGACAAGCTGAGCCCGCAGAGAGCCAAGCTGCTCCTGGTGGTCACCTGGGGACTCTCCTTCGTTTTCTCCTTCCCTCTGGCGCTGGGCGCGCCCCCYCTGCCGCTGCCGCCCCGCGCTCCTCAGTGTGTCTTTGGTTACAGCTCCAGCCCCGGATACCACGCCTACGTGCTCCTCCTCATGCTGCTTTTCTTCTTCATCCCCTTCATGGCCATGCTCTACACCTTCATGGGGATCCTGAACACCATCCGCCACAACGCCGTCCGGATCCACAGCCACCCAGACGGCCTGTGTCTGAGCCAGGCCAGCAAACTGGGTCTGCTGAGCCTGCAGAGGCCTTTCCAAATGAACATAGACATGAGCTTCAAGACCCGTGCCTTCACCACCATCCTCATCCTCTTCTCTGTGTTTACAGTGTGCTGGGCGCCCTTTACAGCCTACAGCCTGGTGGCCACCTTCAGCGCCCGCTTTTACCAGAAAGACAGCTTTTTTCAGGTCAGCACCTGGCTGCTGTGGTTGTGCTACCTCAAGTCAGCCCTCAACCCTCTCATCTACTACTGGAGAATCAAGAAGTTTCGCGATGCCTGCCTCGACCTGATGCCTAAATACTTCAAGTTTCTTCCTCAGCTGCCGGGCAACAGCAAGAGGCGCATCCAGCCCAGCGCCGTGTACGTCTGCGGAGAGCACCGCTCTGTGGTTTAAAGTTAGACGAATAACTCCTGAACACTGGTGAAACACACTCTGACCCCAGGAACCATCACAGACCTGCTCGGACTGGTTCATGTGTCCCTGGCTGCCACTGATGGAGCCGTGTTAAAACAACGCCGCTGRTGGAGGAGTCTCCAAAGTGTCCCGAGCTTTCCTCACATGAAGCTCAGACACTAATGTTTCCTCACAGATTGGTCCTGATGTCTGGAACAGACTCAGGGCATCCATCCAGTGATTCAATGATTAATGATCAGGATGTCCCGATCCGGATGTTTTGGCTCCCGATACAATCAGATTTTTTTAATGAATAGTCTTTCTGATACCGATCCGATAGCTTTCTTTCTTTATTTCTTTCTTTCCAAGTGACAAGGTTGGTAGTATCAAAGCGAGCCCTGCTGTTCCACCACCAGAAACATCCAGTTTGCAGATTTTATAAGATGCAGTTTCAGCATCATTGTTTTCCATTGAAAAGTGTTCCCACACTGTGGACATGGTTGTGTGTGCGTCTTGACTTCTTAACGGTCGTTGTGAAGCATGATGATGCTGAAAACTGGGTCGGCCCGATCACATGACTAAATCTGATTCTACCCGATTTTTAAAAAATGTCCATATCTGCCACTGATACTGAGTATCTGATCGGGACATCCCTAATATAAAGCCTGTAGATTAGTCAGAAACATAGAGCTGTGTTCAGACTGGACCTCAGTTTACAAACTGAACACTAAAATAAGTCGTGATTTTTAAGAATTGGCCACAGACTTATCTGGCACCGTTAGACTGCAGCAGAAAAATGTTTCGAAGCTGAGAGTTCCCGTCAAACTCCGGCCTTGGAGCTCAGAGGATTCAGCCTCAGCAGGCTCTGTTAGAGGAGGCTGAGTGGGCGTGGCCTCTGTTAGAGGAGGCGGAGTGGGCGTGGCCTCTGTTAGAGGAGGCGGAGTGGGCGTGGCCTCTGTTAGAGGAGGCTGAGTGGGCGTGGCCTCTGTTAGAGGAGGCTGAGTGGGCGTGGCCTCTGTTAGAGGAGGCTGAGTGGGTGTGGCATCTGTTAGAGGAGGCTGAGCGGGCATTGCCTCTGTTAGAGGAGGCAGAGTGGGCGTGGCCTCAGCAGGCTCTGTTAGAGGAGGCTGGGTGGGTGTGGCCTCTGTTAGAGGAGGCTGAGTGGGTGTGGCCTCTGTTAGAGGAGGCTGAGCGGGCGTGGTCTCTGTTAGAGGAGGCTGAGTGGGTGTGGCCTCTGTTAGAGGAGGCTGAGCGGGCGTGGCCTCTGTTAGAGGAGGCTGAGTGGGCGTGGCCTCTGTTAGAGGAGGCTGAGTGGGCGTGGCTCATTGCTGTGGTTCGGGCATCCAATCAGGACGATCCAGTTTGGATCCAAAAGGTTTTTCTAATGAGTGGAGATAAGAAAAGTCTKCACATTACCTGGATTTACAAGAACAGAGGGCGCTGAGAGGCTTTTACTGTTTTATAGCAGAACTTTAATAGAGTTTAAATATTTTACAGGATTTGATCCTTCCTGTTCATGGCCTTTAACTGACTGCATGTGTCCATCTGTATTAATATCTGTTTGTGATCTGAAGCTCACAGCACTTTGATTTATTTATGAACAGATGTGTCGTAAAGTTTACTGGTTCACTAAAGACCAGAGGTTGTTTTAACGTGAGGACAGTCTGTGTTMGAATAACCAACTAAAGAACGGGTCACAGGTTGGAGAACCCTTAGTTCCTGGTTGCTTTTCCTGAAGTCCTACACTGGGACCAGACCCTGGATGATGATGACCATCACAAGCTGTTTTATTCCAATGAACCTATAGTTTAGTTTCTACCAGGCAGAGGTAAAACTGACCTGCTGCAGGGACCTGGGTCTGGATTCTGGTCTCAGACACAGTTTACATGTAGCAGACAGAGACTGTCAGAAGGTCCAGAGCAGAGCCTTACTGTCAGCCAGCTGAAACTCTTCTGACTCCTCCATCTTTAGAAAAACAGAACTGGTTTGAAGCTGCAGCTCAGGTGGAGCCAGCAGGAACCATGAGTTTAGTTTGTGTGACAGAGTGAAGCACCAAATGAAAATGAACCAAGACTGTCCGGTGTGAATACAACCAGAGAGCAGGAGTTGATCCTGTGAGCTCACTGAGTACCGCTGCACCATCGTGCTGCTTTTAGTTACAAACAGAAGAACCTAAATGAAGTTATTTTAGTCACGTGTTTTATAACAAAACATTAATATAATTGTTTTTAACATGTTGCTTTTAATTTGAAAAGATCTGCTT